AAGCTAGGGAAAGCTAGGGAATGAACTGAAGCTAGGGAATGAATTGAAGTTAGGGAAAGCTAGGGAATGAACTGAAGCTAGGGAATGACTGAAGCTAGGGAAAGCTAGGGAATGACTGAAGCTAGGGAAAGCTAGGGAATGAACTGAAGCTAGGGAAAGCTAGTGAATGAACTGAAGCTAGGGAAAGCTAGGGAATGAACTGAAGCTAGGGAAAGCTAGGGAATGAACTGAAGCTAGGGAATGAACTGAAGCTAGGGCAAGCTAGGGAATGAACTGAAGCTAGGATTCTCTGAGCACTGCTATAATGGAGGTTTAACTTAAGCCCTTGACATATCCCCAGGGCGTGGGGAATACTATCAATATGATAGGTGTGGAGGACGGTCGGGATAAGGAACTTTCCAGGCGTTGTTTACAGTCCGTTATCTCAGCAGTATATATAGTGCGGGCAGGCAGCGTCACACACAGTAGACAACATGGTGGTCGTACCGGGAGTAGCGCGGGCCTTGGCTGCCCATCTCAGGTACTGTACTACTCTTCCGTCCTTCATTCTCTATCTCAGATAATCTCTTTGTTGGGGAGATTGAATTGATGATTTATTATAGCCTTTTTTGGTTATGGTATATTGGATGTATAGTTGGATTGTGCTGATCAATTATTTTAGATTTTATGATTGTTAAATATAATGTTGTTTGAGATCATAGTGGTCTGTTCTTCTCTCGAATCTTCTACTTCTTTCCTTCAGATAGATATTCCTTTACTTGTTATGTTCCACTAATGGTTAGATTTACTCTATTAATCATATGTACCGGTATTGGTTGGATTTAATCTATCAGTCATGTACCGGTATTGGTTATATTTCATCTATCAGTCATGTACCGGTATTGGTTAGATTTCATCTATCAGTCATGTACCGGTATTGGTTATATTTCAACTATCAGTCATGTACCGGTATTGGTTATATTTCATCTATCATTCATGTACCGGTATTGGTTAGATTTCATCTATCAGTCATGTACCGGTATTGGTTATATTTCATCTATCAGTCATGTATCGGTATTGGTTATATTTCATCTATCAGTCATGTACCGGTATTGGTTAGATTTCATCTATCAGTCATGTACCGGTATTGGTTATATTTCATCTATCAGTCATGTACCGGTATTGGTTAGATTTCATCTATCAGTCATGTACCGGTATTGGTTATATTTCATCTATCAGTCATGTACCGGTATTGGTTATATTTCATCTATCAGTCATGTACCGGTATTGGTTAGATTTCATCTATCAGTCATGTACCGGTATTGGTTATATTTCATCTATCAGTCATGTACCGGTATTGGTTAGATTTCATCTATCAGTCATGTACCGGTATTGGTTGGATTTAATCTATCAGTCATGTACCGGTATTGGTTAGATTTCATCTATCAGTCATGTACCGGTATTGGTTAGATTTCATCTATCAGTCATGTACCGGTATTGGTTAGATTTCATCTATCAGTCATGTACCGGTATTGGTTAGATTTCATCTATCAGTCATGTACCGGTTTTGGTAAGATTTCATCTATCAGTCATGTACCGGTATTGGTTAGATTTCATCTATCAGTCATGTACAGGTATTGGTTATATTTCATCTATCAGTCATGTACCGGTTTTGGTAAGATTTCATCTATCAGCCATGTACCGGTATTGGTTAGATATTTCATCTATCAGTCATGTACCGGTATTGGTTAGATGTTCTATAATGTTCTGTATATGCAATACTAGCCGAATGACCCGGGCAACGCCCGTGTTTTACCCGATTGAATGTTTTTATTCAAATACTATTTGTTGCAATTATAAATTGGCGCCTTAAATAAATGCATATGTTAGTTAATACCTATAGCAGTGATTCTCAACCAATGTGCCGCGAAATTCTAAAAATGTGCCGCCGAATTTTAGTCATATGATTATGTTCACGTTTGTATTGGTTTTTCTTTTTTTCTTTTTCATTTTTTTACTTTTTAAAATAACGAAATTAGCAAATTGAATGTTAGAGATGTATATTACTTATATTTTGCATAGAAATATTGATACATAATTTGAATTTTCTTGCATTCAAGTTAGCAAAAGTGTGCCGCGAAATTATAAAATTGTGCCGCCAAATTTTCAAATCTTTAAAATAATGCCGCAACAAAAAAAAGGTTGAGAATCACTGATCTAATATATACATTTTAAACAAAGTAAATATAATCAAAAGGAAAACAGTGTAATATATATAAATAAATATTGATAATTAAAAGATTTCGAATTAATTAAACAAATAAAAATACCATAAAATATATATATATAAATAGCATTTTTTTAAATAATCCTAGTACACATGGTACAGGCAATGTTAATCCTGGTGAGTAGTTAACTACTGCTTTTACTGTAAGTGCACCACATATCTACACATGTGAAAAGCAGTTCGAATTTTGCACTTACAAATGTGTCAAAGCCCCGTTTGATTACTTTCACTCGATGGTGGGGTTGGACTTTTGTAAAATTCGGGGGCCATTGGAGCTTTTTTTTTTAATTAGAAAAAAAAGTGCCCAATGCGAGATTCGATACTGGTTCGTAGCGGTCGAAAACCAATGGTTTATTTATTATTGATTATAAACACAAGGTAATAAGAACAAATACAAATCCAAAAATCATTCAGCACTTTTATCTGAAGATGGTAACAACGCTGTTACCGAAACGTCACACACTATTTATTTATTTGGATTTGGTCTTATTACCTTGTGTTTATAATCCTCTAGCCCTTTTGGTGGCGGTGGTGTCTTGTCCATGGAACAGATCAGATCGGTCCATGCACCCTGATCACAATACCGGCTAATCGAGGGGCCTTGTCCGTATGGATGTCCTCTTCTGGATTGATGTCTGCCATATAGAGGGCTGCAAGGATGGCCGGGCAACTGTATATATGGTCCGGAGTGAGTTGGGTGTTGTGACAGTTATTGGAATCTATGGTGGTGGTGGTGTCTTGTCCATGGAGCAGATCAGATCGGTTCATGCACCCTGATCACAATACCGGCCAACTGAGGTGTCTTGTCCGTATGGATGTCCTCTTCTGGATTGATGTCTGCCATATAGAGGGCTGCAAGGATGGCCGGGTATATATGGTCTGGAGTGAGTTGGGTGTTGTGACAGTTATTGAAATCTATGGTGGTGGTGTCTTGTCCATGGAGCAGATCAGATCGGTCCATGCATCCTGATCACAATACCGGCCAACTATGGTACCTTGTCCCTATGGATGTCCTCTTCTGGATTGATATCTGCCATATAGAGGGCTGCATGGATGGCCAGGCAACGACCTTTTAAAAATATATTTGCCAAATTTTGAAGAATGCTCCTCTAAACGTATTTTGATTTGTTTGTTAAAATGATATTAGCAAAATTCGCCATAATGGTTATGTCGAAATATTGAACCATTTTGTAAGATCATTAGGCAAATTGAATATTAAGAAAAGTATATTGAAGAGAAACTGTTTTTTTTTTGTCTAATTTCAAAACCTGATGTCTATTTTTATATCGGGTTTTAATTGTATTGTTTTTTAGAAGCTGATGTTGAAATCAATCAAAATACTTTATATTTGCTTCTCTTCATAAAAAAAACTTCAGTAATTAATCCTTTTTTATTATTTCTGAAGGAATGTCCACTTTAATGATAGTTGAAACCTATTTAAGAATATCTCCTAAGTTTTTTTTTTATGCGTAACAACTGACGCAAAGGCCACGCGATGTCTTTTTTTTTTCCTATAAATGACACTAATTTTTGCTGATAAAAAGTATCATATTGTATTTTTTATTAATAGTTTCTCTGTGATTATTTTTTTAAAACGCTAATCACACATTTCCAGATGAATAAATTTAAATCTCCTTTAGATATCTGATATCAAAGTAAAACGTTTATGGAGATGAGTATCTTTTATTCCGGTCTTCTCAAGCTTTCGGGCTTGTCCGCCCTTCTACAGGAGAAACATATACAATATATCAAGAAAATATAATGCCGCCTGATGCTAAAACTATTATGATTCTATGTACATATATATATATATATATACATTAGGATGTTTTTGCATATTATTTTTTACTTAAGATATGTTTTTTATTTGGTTAAGGTATTTACATATTTTACTATTGTTTGCTATATTCTATGAATTATCTTATAGGTTCGGAATTCTATTATTTAAGTTAGTTTTATAATGGTTATTGGCTATTACATATAAGTTACTTATATTATTGTTGATATTATTAGCTGGTACTAGGATTAATTGTGTTATATGTTTCGGGCAAATCTATTTTTCTATTGATGCTATTGTGTTTTTTTTTTTCTGGATAATAAAGATTCATGATATTTGCTGTTTATGTTATTGTAATGTATTCTAGGTTCTTCTAATGCGAAAGTGTGGCCTTTGAACAAATATATATTATAAATAGAGAGGGAGAGAGCCATTAGATGTTTGTACAATCGTCTGATGTATGTAAATTACAATCGTTTGCTGAATAAAAAAAAATCGTCTGCAAATAAATGAAAACTTTGCATATTTTCGGATACAACTAAAATTTCTGTGATGTTTATTACGTTTTCATTCAACACGACATATATATATATACAGTATAAACCTCCCTTTAGCAGACATATATCAACAAAGGACAGTTTTCATTTGTAAAATTACCATTTTTATTATTTAGCAACTCTCCAATAAGAGGACACATTTCCCTAAAGGACACTATTTCTCTGCAACTAGGTGTTGTCCTTTACAGGGAGGTTCTACTGTATATATATTACTAGACGAATGGCCCGGGCAACGCCCGGGTTTTACCCGAGTGCGTATATATTTTAAAAATGTTTTAATTAAAATATTATTCGTTACAATTATGAATTGGCGCCGTGGATCTCTCTTTTGTGAAACGTCCCGCCCCAAACTGTGTGTGTCTTGAAAATATAAAAATAAAAATGTGAACGGAAAAATATGTCCAGGGTAGCCTAGTGGTCATGGCATCTGCCCGGTAAGCGGAAGGTCGTGGGTTCGATTCCTATCCCTTGAATTTTTTTTATTTTATCCATTCTGATCAAAATCTATCCGTGAACTTCACACAGACAGAATAAGGCAATTATATAAGTAGATAATCCAAATTGTGCCTTATCACACACTATTTTTTTATTTTGCCTTATTACCTTGTGTTTATAATCTATGACGTAATGCCGGCGGCGCGCGCCCGTTGGCTGCCGGCGAGCACGTGACCTCCCTGTGCGCGCGCATCCGTGACATAACCGCCCCATGACGGTCGTGACTATATATGTTAATAATAATAATAATATAATAATAATAATAATTATTATTATTATTATTATTATTATCATTAGATAATGATAATGATCATAATGATGATGCGCGCGCATCCGTGACAGAACCGGCCGGCCGGCCAGCCCGCCCATGACGGTCGTGACTATATATAGGGATAATTATTTAGCTTTATTTGAATTTGTTAAATTTTTCCAGATATTCGAAATATATTCAACAAAATTTGATAGATAAATTGTATTTCATCTATTTACATTTCAATGGTTTCAATTTTTAATATATGGAGAAATTAAGCCTGTTGAAGAGCGATTATCGCTTGAAAGCTAGCGTTTTGTAATAAAAAGAAACTCATTGTGAGATAATATTTTTGTATTTTTAAAACTTTTTTCACAATTTTATCATGAATGGACATAGAGAAATGTTGGCACATATACAGAAACATAGGGTTCCATCTATATAAAGCTAGATTAGACGTTTTAGACAGTATGGTACTGCGGAAAAGAGGAAGAAGAACCCAAAAAAAATGGCATGGTTATGAATGGCCGACCTTCTGGTCAAATCAGACAACTGACCAATAGCAGAGAGAGACTGCTGTTCATAGGAATCGACAAAGAAAAGGATAAAACACAACAAAAACGTAGATGGGGAAAGGAAGTGGCATCGAAATGCTATTGTAATCAGGGTACAATAGAAAGTCCTTCAGACCATTTGCCTGTTGGAATACAGCTTGGGAAAAGAACGATATGTTCTCATTTGTAATCAGCAATGAAAGAACATTTGCAATATTTTAAAACTGGTATATTTTACTAATGTTCCATGTTCGCAAAATATAAGGTTGTCCCAAAAGTTTGTAAACATATTATGATTTATATTTTTGCAAGTGTTAACGAACTTTTGGGACAACCTTGTTATTCTGAAACTAGGCCCACCTACTGATTGGCCATCCTTAATATAGAACATCAGAGATTAAATCATTCTTCAATAAGAATTCTGTTATAATTTTATCAAGGTTACCAATATTACCATGGTTGTTTAAAAGTTCGTAAAAACACTTGAAAAATATAAATCTTAATCATAATGTGTTTACGAACTTTTGGGACAACCTTGTAATTCTGAAACTTGGCCCACCTGCTGATTGGGCCATCATTGATATAGAACATCAGAGATTAAATCATTCTTCTATAAGAATTCTGTTATAATTTTATCAAGGTTACCAATATTACTAAAGTTGTGATAAAAGTTCGTAAACACTTACGAAATATAAATCATATTATGTTTATGAACTTTTGAGATAACCTTATGCTATTCTTTGAACTTAGCAATCCTATTCAGTTGCATATGTGTTGGATCCATTGTAGAGGCTGACGTTGTCCTCTGTGTGTAGGTCACTGAAGATGCAGTGCTCCTGCCTGGAGAAAGGATTCAAGAGGTTTTTCCGATGGTTAGGCACCATCATAGCCCGTTACTACATTGCCTTTATCATTATACCTCCTATCCTCAGTCTCTTACTAGGTACCGGATGCCATCTTATCTACAAGAGCACTGTCCAGGATGCCGAGTTCCTATTTAGTCCTGTTAGCGGCCTCGCCAAAGAAGAACGTGCCGTGGTTGAGTCTCACTTTCCATCCAACAATACGTCTAACTTTGATCCTGCACGTATGACCAGGTTAGGTCGATTCGCACGTATCTTCGCAGTTCCACGCGATGATAAGACTGTCCTCAGAAAATCTATCTTTGAAGATTTAATCAAGGTGGATCAACTCATTAATACCTTCACTGTAACTTGGGAGGGAAAGAACTATACCTATCAGGATCTCTGTGCAAAAGATAAGAATGGAAAGTGCTTCGAGAACTCCATTCTCAATTACATTAGCAAAATGGAAAGCATCGAGAGTGGTCATCATTTCTTGAAGTACCCTGTCATCACGGACCTGAGGACAATGAAGATCGACTTTCTGCCTACATTCCTGGGCGGTCTGGAAATCGATCCTGAAGGCAGGATTCTGTTTGCCAAAGCAGCAGGGTTGGTTTACTTTCTCAACATCGATACTCCCATCTTCAACAAGATTTCTTACCTGTGGGAACAGGAATTCCTCAACATCATTGGCAATACCCATCCCGAGCATATATCTCTGATGATGTATGTCTCCGACTCTCTGGGTGATGAACTGCACCGGAATATAATGAGCGTACTCAAGTTCTTCGTCCTCAGCGTAGTTTTCATGATCTGCTACTCCGTCACTGCAACTTCCACCAGCAACTGGCTTCTTAGTAAACCTTGGCTGGGATTGATTGGCTGTTTTACTTCCCTCTTTGGCGTCATCTCTGCATATGGCTTCTGTCTCTACATAGGACAGTCATGGATCGCTATGAACATTGCTATCCTTTTCATTATGATTGGTAAGTTGGATTTAACAAATGCTCTTGCGAGCTTAAAGCTGATGTTTTCTGTGTTCAGGGATCGGCATGGACGATACGTTCGTGATCCTGGCAGCTTGGTGGCGTACAGACCCTCGCGACAGTGTTGAAGATCGGACGGCAGAGACCTTCGCCAACTCAGGAATTGCCATTACTATCACCTCCCTCACCAACTTCCTCTCGTTCTTCGTGGGGACATTCACACCATTCCCTGCCACCTACATCTTCTGTGCACATGCCTCGACTGCTGTCGCCTTCACATACCTCCTCCAGATCACCTTCTTTGGAGGAGTGCTGGTCTTCTGTGGCAAGATGGAAAAAGAAAACCGCCACTCCCTATTCTACTTCTGCAATGTCATTCATCCAGAACAAGCAAGTAAGTATACCATAGTGATCACATACCATCGTTATATCGAATTTAACAGAATAGGTCATCGAATTGTGACAGATATTAACTTATGGGTCTCTAATAGACAAGAATAAATACATAATGACTTGAAATTTAAATATGGTACGAAAGAGATTAGCTAAAATAAGCCAAGGATAAAAATATTCAAGTATATATCTCATCAACCATTTTTTAAAGACAATGATGAATTGATGACTTGTTCTTTACGTTTGTGCATTACTGGCATCATTTAAAAAGCATATCCTTTATCTTCTGGAATACTATTGTGATTATGCCTTTGTGTAAGAGAAAATTAAGTTCGTCTACATAGATATAATGACGTATTGTCCATATGGTAGTGATGTCTTGTCCACATCGATCTAATAATGTTGATGTGTTTTCCAGAAGAAAAAGGCTGCATCTTCCAAATCCTCTGCTCAGGAAGCGGAGAACATATTCCAAGTGAAAAGAACTTCTTCGCTATTTTCTTCAGGGATTACGTCGGTGGTGCCCTGTCTCGACTTTGGGTCAAAATTCTGATAATCGCCGTGTTCCTGGCCTACCTAGGTGTCGGCAGCTATGGCTGCACCACGCTCAGAGAAGGCCTCGAGGTGGAGAAGCTCTTCCAGCATGATTCCTATGCGGCGGATTATTATGACAGCCAGTTTACCTATTTCTACGACTACTATCTACGTATCCAGATGGTTATCACAGAGGACATCGACTATTCCAACCCTAAAGTTCAAGAAAAACTGGAACTGTTCACTCAGAAGGTCGAGAATTCGTCCTTTATTGCTAACGGCTCCTTGGGACTTACAGAATCCTGGATGCGCATCCTGAAGACCTCCTATCCTATCTACAACTTCAGAGGATATAAGATGTCCAATCACAGCGTCTTCGTTGATGTGGTGAAGAACTCTTTCCTCTCGCTTCCCGCTCACAAGAGATTCGAAAATGACATTGAATTCAACGAGAACGGAACAAAGATCCTTGCCAGTAGAATTCTCTTCCAGACTACTAGCATCAAGAACACTAACGATGCCAAGTTCCTTCTGATTGCTCTAAGAAAGCTCGCTGAAGAAGCACCTTTCAAAGTAACCTTCTACAATGCCTATTTCCCCTTCATGGATCATTTCATCATCATTGGATCTGTTACTATTGACTCAGTGTTAATCACACTTCTATTGATGGCTGTTATAGCCTTCTTCTTCATTCCCAGTTTGGTATCCATTATTCTAATGGTGCTAGCCCTGATCTCTATACAGGTTGGTATCATAGGTTACATGGCCCTATGGAACGTTCCTTTAGACCCAATCTCAATGATTTGCCTCATAATGTGCGTAGGCTTCTCTGTTGACAACTGCGCACATGTTCTTCATGCTTTTAGGGATTCCGAGGAGAAAGATCCAAACAAGAAAATTCAAGATTCTCTATACAAAGTAGGATTACCTATCATTCAAGGATGCATTTCATCATTTATTGCAATCTTAGCTCTTATTCTGGAAGGAGCCTTTATTTTCTGGACTTTCTTCAGGATTATTTTACTTGTCCTGATGTTTGGTGCCTTGCACAGCCTCTTCCTGCTTCCCATTCTTCTCTATTTTGCAGAGAAGGCAATGAAAAAGAAAAATGATGAACCAGAATTGGATGATCCAGCAGTTCGGCAACCTTTATCTGCCAAAGAAGAACCACAAGCGCCATCAAGCGAACTGATTGAAAGGATTTCAATTGTATAGTCATTCATCTCTTAAAGTACTTTTTTTTGTAATATAATGTAACTTATTAACTGTAACAATCCACTCATTACTTGCTGTGCAAGATATTTCATTGTACAAATTATTACAACTTTTTATATTATTATTATTTGTAGGTTGCCAAAGAGACATACACATACAATATTTGTGATATAGTATTTTTATAATCTCATTGTTTTTTTAT